TGTGAGACCAAGTAGCATAACTTTTAGCTGCTCACCAAGGAGAACAGTCGAAGCACCTCTGCCTTCTGGGGAGGAATATTCCTGTTTCTCGAGTGTACTTGTGTGTCCGGTTCCTGCAGCTGAGCTCACAGGGTGAGGAATTTTCCCAAATAGCTTCACTGGCAGGTCCACGCAGCCTCCCTGTTCAACTAAAGCCGAGGTGACTTCAAATGAAATCGGCACAGGTGCAAAGGCAGTGGCTGTGGCGGGGGCAGAGGGCTGTGTGGTGCTCTGAGGGTTCTAAAGAAGCTTTTAGTGACTCCGACTGGGATGAGCGATCTGGGACAGGCTCACAGGGTTCCAAGCAAGCACTAGAAGCAGCACCATGGGGAAGTGCTCTTTTCCTGGAGCACTTGCAAACACTTCATCTTAATTGAATTTGTAAACAGCTTTAAATCCCTTGGTGGGGGAGGGTTCAATTCCTTGAGAAATTAGAGCCTGAAAATGAGAAAACTGAGAATTGCCTCCTCCCCCCCCCCCCCCCCCCCCCCTTTTTTTTTTCTGGTAGATGTTATCTTGGACAGTTGGGCTGCCACAGTCCCCTCCTTAGTGTGTGGATGCGTGTGAGCATTTCAAAAGAACAGAAATGGCAACATTTCTAGGTTGAGGCATTTTTTTAAGCTCTGTATTCTGGGTGCCTATTATCCAAGCTGAGAAAGTATATCAGAATCAGTTAATTGTATCTGTGCAGGATACAGCAACACCCAACAAGTTTTCAAGGTAAATTGGGTGGAGAAAAAAAAAAAAAAAAAGGAAGAAAATAATCCCTGCAGCATTAGTCTCTCTAGAGATTGCTGAACAGCTAGTGACAGTTCTGCTCGATAGCAGTGCTGAGCTAGCCGTTTGCAGGCTTGCACTGGGGAACTGAGCAGGCCGAGAACAATTCTGATTTAGGCACTAGTTAGGTCCATAACCAGGCTGACATGAATTACTTGGTTACAGTACTCACTTTGCCACGTAGAGACTGTGGTCTCCTAACTCAATGTCAAACCTGAACTTCATAAAGCCCTGTCAGATGTCTGTCCTTGGGCACTTCAAAGTTATAAGATAGAACGAAGACCGGGGCCTTCGTTAACCAGGTGTCCCCGTGTGCAGAACAGCAGATTTAAATGGTAATAGTTGAGGTGGAAGGGCTGGAGCAGCCATGGGCTTAAGCTTTAGAGCCTAGAAAAGGTATTTGTGGAGGAGGGAGATGATGAGGTGCATCTGAATAGACTTTCACAAACCAGTTCCTGAAATCCCTTTATTCCTAGAGTAATTTTTAGTATCTTCAGGATGAATGCTTTATACTTGAAACCCTGGTTGTTGTCCATATGGAAAAATAAACAAGCAATATGCATTAACAGTTGTTTTTAATGCTATACTGTTTTATATAGATTTAGTTATATACAGTTGTATATTTTATTTTGTTGACTGTGATTTGAACCATATTCTGTAGTAACAGTGCTGTGGGAACATAAGGGGAGGTTTATAGTGGAGGATGATCCCATCCTTTCAAGTTATTTTTGTAACCACAGGTACAGGGGAGTCTCTATTAAGCAATTCTGTAGTAACAAAATATTCTGCCTAAACAATTTCTGCATAAAAGATCCCAGGGAGTTGCTTGAGAAACCAGTTTAACTGATCCTCCATTTCTTCATTAAAAAAAGGTGCTTTGCAAGATGACATACAGGCCCTCCGTGTAGCGGTCTAGCAGGCACTGGTGTAGATTTGTAGTGAATGCTTTCTGGCTGTTGGAAGGAGGAATGTAAAGTAAGCTGTTCTTCCCAGTCAACAAACACCACAATTTCTAGTGAACAGAACAAGGTACAGACATAGGATGGGGGGGAGGGGAGGGGAGCAAGGCCTCCGATAAAATGACCTACCTGGGCAACCGATGGGATTTCAGAAAAACAGCCTTTCAAACTGCACTTGCTAGGTCAGTTAATAACGACGGGTTCTTTATTTGTTTGGGGCTTTTAACAGACGGGAAGGTAAGAAGCACAGGGCTCTGTATTTTGCACTTCTGATGTGTCAAGACAAAACTTTCACAGGCTTCCCTTAAGTCTCTTTAAAAATTATTGCACGCGGACAAAGCGCTTTGTATTACACAGCCAGCATACTCAGCTAAGCCTGCTATTTCCAGGTTGTGTTAAGTACACTTGAGCAGAATAGCAGGATGTCAGCTGATGTACGAGGCTAGCTGATTAAAATAGGAACACCTCTGTCTGTGCCAATATGTAGTTCAAAAAGCAAAGACAACTGAGCTAGGATGGCTGCTGGGGCAAGGTACGCTGGGCTGAGTTTTCTGAAACAATGGGATCTTGAAAATCAATAGTGTACTCTATTACCCGGGTTTAAGCTTTAGTGGACAGACAAATTAGGCTCTAAATGTAATGCAGCTGCTCTGTGCCCATATATTTCTGTAAGAATCATTAACTTGGCATTCCTGAATTATAGAACTAATGCTGAATAAATGGAATTGAAAGGCAACACGTTAAAATACGTGTAAGAAGGGTTCTTGGAACTGCTTCCAGCCTGATGAAATTGTGAAATTCACTGCTACAATGTAAGACTGAAGCGTAAAGTTTCACAAAGTCAGAAAGGGATTTAAGACGGGTGTGGCTAATGCGACCATCTGGTGGTACACTTAATGGGATGAAGAAAATTCAATATAAGCATGCCTGCTGAACTGAGGGAGTTGCACGGAACTGCAGCCCGATGTTGGGGTTATGCTTTATGAGGTTTCCTGCAACGACCTCCAAAACCTTTGGGTCTCGGTTTCCCTCTGCAGTAGCGTGGGGGGGGGGAGGGGGGGTGGTCCGCGTGCCCGCAGGGTCACTTGCACAGCGCCGTGGAGGGTGCAAGAATTGGGATGTACTGAGAGGTCCTGAACGTACTGGCAGGGTATGGGACAAGGCAGCGTTCGACACGACTTCAGACCAGGTGCCTGGCTAACCACGCCTTTTCCTAATCTGACATAGTAAGAATTCTTAGTTCTTCCATTTTAACACAGCCTGGTGTTAATTTTCTAGTTTTTTCATACGTAATTTTTGAATCTAAGAAACTACTTCAGAAAAAGAGAAGTCCTTTTGTTTCAAAATTATCACTAACAGAAAAGTTCTAAACAGAAAATATTTGGTTTTGGATAGAAGCATTTTGTTACATGGTAAACCTGATCTCCCGGTATTTTTTGAATTGTTACCGACTAACACATAATTTCAGGCTGCCCTTAGTGGGAGACATAAAGGGGTGCAAATTTTACCTGGGAATGAGTAAGCCATCCACTTAATAATTTAAAAAAAAAATCTGTAAGGAAGGATAGGTCAAATCAAAAATATGTAACGAGAATTGATTGATCAAGTATGCTGTGCATCTTTTTTTATTGCATACACTGTGTGTGTGCACTTGCACGCACATCTTTGGGTATGTGTCCAGTCTCTGTAGAGCTCGTAGCGTAGTTGATTATAAAGAATACAAAAGACATTCCGTTGTAAACTTTAAAGAATATTTAATAACTTTTAAAAAATAAAAAGTATATTTTAAATTTTGTTCTTTATATGAATGCACAAAAATGTATCATTGTAGCTGCAGCGACAAAATCCAAAGAACTGAGGAGGAGACCTGCCCGCTGTGGTAAGAGACCGGTGACAATCTGGGAGAATTCACAACGGAATCCCAACAAAATTTCCCCTGGCGAAGCCCGACTTGCTTTCTTACTGTGAGGCGTCTAACCCGGTATCTGTGAGGACCATCCGCACCTAGCCAAAGACCTCGCAGACAGAGTTACTGAAGAGTCTGGCGTTAAAATAAATGCCACGCTCAGCTGCTGGTTTGTGTTGCTCCCCTTCGGGGCCAGGCTTCTCGCACAGCAGCGACACTAAGGGGGGCGGGCGGGGCACCGTGCCACCCCCCAAAGCGGTCTGAGAGGTACAGCCGCCACGCTGCTGATGCGAGAGAAAGTATTTTTACAGCTGCTGTTGTACAGTTCCTTCCTCTCCACGTGATAAATCATATAATGCTGCATTCAATTGGTAATTATTAAATGGAAGAATAAACCTTTACGAGTTTAGATTGTTTGAGGGGGAGGAACAAAGAAGTATTCATAGAACAGAAACTGGAGTGAATTTCAGCAACTGTGATAAGACGCGGAGCTAAATAATTCTATTGTACAAGCAATAAGATTTGGCTGCTACTGACAGTTACTTTACAGGAAAATAAACCATATTCTATTAAATATATATATATGTATCTATATTATTATAATCGTGAAGATGGACAGCCAGAATTATATTGAACTGAATCTAAAAGCTAAGTCCTGATGCTGCTGAATTCAGCGCTGCACCCTGGGCCTTCACATCTTGCTATTAAGCAGAAAGAGCAACGAGTATAAATTCAGAGGGCTCTCCTTCAGTGTCTTTATTGCCTTTGGTTCTGCCTTTAATCTAAACGTATCAAGTCCTCCTTCATGTTTAAAGATAAGTGACAACAATATAAAAGACTTTACCAGAAGTGAGAAAACACTAATGGAAGCAATTGGAATGACTTCTGTGTTGCTCTGCATACGTATGGTACAAGCAGCCTTTTAAATGGGTGTTATGTACTACAGGGTATTTATTTATAATCAACCCGTTCAACATGGAGGCTTATGCATAATATGGAACTATTTATCTTTGGGGTTTTAAAAAAAGATTTTGCTGTTACATATCACAAAATATTCTGACCTTGTCAGCAGAGAAAGGATGCAATCTTTTTAAAAAGAAAATATGGTAAGTTGTTACATGCAGTACGTTCAGAGGTTTGAAATTGGATTGTGCTGGTAATGCTTTAAGCACCGTAACATCTGTTTGGCCTGTGTGAAGAGAGTTAATAACATCAGATACAGGAAATAGTCCAGTTCAAATTATAAACAAGTTGCAGTAGCATCTCAGTTTCAGTTGGCAGTGTAAGGGTGGTTTTTAAAAATAGAATTATTAGCAGCAATGTGTGGTCTGTTTTTTGTTGTTTTGTTTTTTTTTTTTTTTTCTCTTTCTTTCTTTCCTCCTTTTCAGCAGTGCCATATGTTTCTGTTGCAGTGACTGGGATTTACAAAGTGACTGTTGCTTATACTCCCTACAGCTACATGTTTTTGAAAACTGAGGCAGTTTATCTTGTTGTAAAGCCACCTAAACTGTGGAACATGATCAGACATCACACTTTGTGGGTCCTTGTCTTCAGTCTGTCTCTGTCTCTCACTCTGGTCTGTAGGTTTAGGTGAAGTCTAGCAGTCTTCTCTCAGAGACCAGCACATATTAGCGGGAGACTCACAGGAGGAGGGTTTGAGCTCTCCTCTCCCTCCGCCAGCACCAGGCAAACTGATGAGAGTTGCCTTCTGGGGGAGCTCTGTTGCACAACAGTTTGCTCTTACCAACTGAGCCATCAGCAGCCTGCTGTCTCGGTGTTAATTTTTAATGGCAGGGATCACTACAAATAGACTTGTCTACCTTTTATCTTTCTTAAAAAATCAATGTTTTATTAAGCTATTCACCACTCGTATGCTCCTTTTCAGTGCTGGAATCTCTGAGCTGTCAGCAGGAGCACCTGTGTGTACAAACTATATGCCATGGCATGATTGTAATGCCAAGAGTAAGTCTCATGCTTGGGGTGTGGGCTACTCACTCCGTTACTCCACTCTGTCTTGGGTTGAGGTCAGTCTGTTCACTTTTGTCGAGACTTGTTAGCCAGTAAGATGCGTCAGTGATGGTGAGTGATTGGGGAGCCACATAAAATGCACACAAGTAATGCTTTACTGTCAACTTCGCCTGCACAGCTAAATGCTACTGAGGTTGATGCATAAAGGTGGGGGGCAAGATTCCATCAGGTATTTGCTCTTTCACACACCAGACTGTCCTAAGCACTTCCCTGTGGAGTAGTTTTGGGCCTGAGGGTGAGAAGAGTGCAGGAAGTCAGCAAAGAGGGGAAAAAAAAAAAAAACCAATCTAAAACCTAAGCTGTGAGAGTAGTATTTGTCAATGGTGCAGGACCAGAAAAGGGTTGGTTACTTACAGGTGTTAAGGAGCTTGTTCAATAGGCTGTGGGTTGGTGAGTCCAGCTTTAACTGCTGGAAATTGCCTTAAAATCCAAGTAAGCAACATTTCACTCGCGGCTGAGACCTGCTGTTGTAAGTGGTAAAGGTACAGGGAAGCTTTTTTTTTGCCTGAACTTGATGTGTGCTGCTTAGTCTGTCACAGTAGGAACGGCTGCCTCCAGCTGGGGGGGGAAACAGGGCAGGGTGGTGGGTTGTACCTCTGGGCTGCTGGCAGCAGCCGAGGCCCTCGGGGCCTGTTTGCCTGTCCCCAGCTGTGCCCTTTCCCTGGGCTGCTTCTGCTTCTCCCTCTCACCTGCGCGTTTTCTGGGGCCGCTTGCTGATAGGGAATTGTTTGTTTGAAGGATGGGAAACACCTGAATCTTAACTTCGTTACTAGAAGGTGCGCACAGAGGGGTACTAGGTGAATTACTCCATTTACCAGTGCAGGGTGGGGAAATGGGACAAGTGGTGGCTGTTTTCTGGCTAAGGAAAGTTATGATTTTGATTTCTGCAAATTCCAGAAAGTGTGGGGCGTATTATAGCCAACAGCCAGGTGGAGGAACACTGAACTGAGAGGTGACTCCAGTTCTAACAAAGACCGATGTGTCTTGGCTGTTGTAAGCATGCAGCAGAAAGAAGAAAAAAACCAAACAACTAAGCATAAACATCCAAAGTCTTAATAACTCTCTGAAAAATGAGCAGTGTGCAAAAGATTTTTCCTCAGCAAGGCAAACTCTTATCATACCTGCAGATGATGCTATCCCAAAGTAAATTAATGAAATGGTGACATTCAGGGAAGGAACAGCTGACAGCTTTGTATGGATCTTCAAGTGTGGAAATGAGTGGTATTTTTTGGCAGACTAACTTGAAACAGGGATGATAAAAAAATAAAACCATAGTAGAATGACAGCAAGAGCCCACTCACAGGTTGTTTACTGAAATGAAGATACAGCTGAAAGTAATTACTTGTTTCCCAGAGGTATAAGTGATAGTGCCTTCTACAAGAAATCATACTCGGTTATTTCAGTTGGAATGTAAAATGGAATAGAAAGGTTCCCTCTTTCTGAGGTTAGATGCTGGGCAGTTTCACCTCCTTTCAGAACAGCATGTGGCTATGAATGTAATATATATTACATATACAGTAAACCATCTATATGCCCCTGGCGATTAATAAGTGAGACAATGTCCAATATTGTTTTCCCTTAACAGCCAGATCTCACTGTACAGATTCTGATTAAAAGCCTGACTTTGCAGCACATAGGATTAAAAATACTCCTTTAAAATAACAGATTTCTGCAGATGATCCTTTCCTGGCTACAAAATCATCTTGAGACACTTGGAGGCAGGGCTGCTTGATCTTGCTGTTTAGCTGTGTGCAAACCATAGTAAAATTACAATTGCATTTAGTGCTAGCTACTCTGTAACTTCTTTCCATGCTGAAGGCTACTCATTTTCTGTGCCCTCTCTTCTAGACCATGAAATGCAGGAAGGCGACCTGGCAGGTTTGGCAGAGGTTGCCTCAGTAGAATCTTTTTCCTAAGGTCGGTTTGCAGATCAGCCCCTTTTGCCTTTGCCACAGGCCATGGAAGAGGAACCACTGCTCTTTGGAGGTTTTCTTCTGTTGAAAGACAAGGCTGCTTCTTACCTGTGCCAGTTCAAGTACTGACTTTTTCTTTTTTTTTTCCTCCTTCAGTAAAGTGGGGTGATTCACAAAATCTTCAGAAAGATAGCATTATACACAGTTTATAGTACAAAGGGGGGGAGAAAAAAAAAAAAAGTCAGATGAATGAGCATGAAGGAGATTTCTCCTGTGTCCTTTGGAGGAGGAGCAGAAAGATTGGGAATGGTGTCTATGCACAGTAGGTGTCTGCCTTGACTACCTGACAATACATGGTCATTGCAAAGGTGAGTCCGAGAATCTAAGAGGAAAAAAAAAAAAAAAAATACAGTTGTTTTTCAGTAAGTAAAAAAAAAAACCAAAACAAAACCTATTTATTGAAACAAAAAAAAAAGATAAAAGCATGCTTACACCGGTTTTGTTCACACACAGGAAGACACACCACATACTGCTTTTCCTGCTGGTTCATGTCCTTGTTCTGTTCCTAGTTTCTGTCTGCCTGTTGTCCTTACCTGTATTGCTGTTTTACAGAATGAACAGTGAGAGCACGGGAGAGTTGATTTCTCCACAAAAAGCGGCCACCCAGGTACTGGGCAAGAGGTATATTTGAAAAGAAATGTCGGGGTGTCTTTTGCTTGACAATATTTTATAGTGGCAAGCCAGAGCTGTGGGGCTCTGTGGTTATTTCCGTAGCTATAGCTTTGAAAGGCAATCATGTTCATCCCTGACCCAAAGGATGCCAGGCTTTACTTTGCTGTACTTCACTTTTCCAAGCGCATGTGTGCACAGGTCCCTGCGGGGGAATCGCTGGAGACTGTCCATGCATTAATCATAACCATCAGTGCCTCATCAACAATGGATGTGCCTTCTACTCCGCCTATTTGAGCGAGCAGCAGGGAGGTGGGGGTTCTTCTCCCAGCCCAACTCCTGCCCTGCTGTGCCGCCTCTGATAGATTACTTCATCAGAAAAGGGGAGGGGGAACAGGGTCTTATCTTCCTTCCAGTTGTAGTACACTCATATAAGTACTTCGTGGTGGTTACTAATCCTTTGCAACACCACTGTAAGAGGTGTGCCAGGTAGATATTTTTTGTATGAATTCTATGTTAAGCACTTAATTTGACCACTTACTCTTTACATAAACAGTAATTCCTTTTCATGAGTATTTCAAAAGAGTACATGAATAACACGCTTACTACTTTATTTATAGAGGAAAAAAAAAATGGTTATAAAGCTGTTACCTTCTTCCTTTGCCGTTCTTCCACAGTGCAATAAGATTGTTAGGCTTTAGTGTGCTGTTTTACAGTAAGCACAGGCCCTTTGGAAGTATCCCCGTACTTCCAGCAAAGGAACACCTTCGGGGGCAGCTGCACACCAAAACCTCGGTGGCTGGATTGGGTTTATAATTTCAAGCATGCATGAGTGAAAAAGACTCTTCTGCCACGTGTGCTCTGTGTCCCTGAAGCTGTGTCACTGTATGATTCTAACGATAAGATTGTTAACAGGAAAAACAAAAGCTGTCACAGGCTTAGGGCCAGAACAACACTGTAACAGCAACAATTGAGGGAGCCCAATTCATTTTAGGTGACAGGGCATCGAAACTTTCAGCCTCAGTTAGGTTCAGTCATGGAGTACAGCTGGAAGACAGACTAAAAATGCTTCGTGTTCTGATGTGTTTTCTCTGTATTTCACAGCATTTACTAGGAATATTAATTTGCATTTTTAAATGGTCTGATGTGTTTTCTCCCGTGCAAACTAGTAGTGGCTTTCGGTCAGAAAGGTATCATTTGCTTAGGTACCCTAAATGTAATCCAGGTCTATGAGAAGGTCTCCCTAAATGCTGAATAGATGCTCAAAAGCTGTTTTTAAAAACACGGTAATATATTAGCAACAGTCTTCCATTGTCTCTCTGCCATATGATCTTGCTGTGCTTATTTTTTTTCCTAAGCATATCTACTTACTGTACTGGAAAACAAAAACTGAAACTACTGAATTTGGGCCTACGAGGAGTCAGGTATTTGCATTAATAAGTTGTAGCCAATACATGAAATACCAGCATGTAAAATACATGCCATTCTGCCTAATCTGAGATTAGTGGGAATAGGAATGGAATTCTGATTCCAGGCTCTCTTGCTGCTGCTAGGGGTATACCGTGCAAAATTAAAAAAACCCCCATGGGTTAATGTGGAGTTACATGGTATTGATTAGCTTAGGGACACCATCCCTTCTGCTGATAGGCTGAGTGTGAGAGAGAGGTGGAGCTGGAAACCAAAGCTCCATCTTCACTGCATTCAGGAATGGCACTTTGGGCCATAACTGCAGGGCTGGCATATAGCTGAAACAGCCTGAGCTCCAGCACAGCCTTCAGCCCCGTATCCCCAGGCTGAGGTTGGTGCTGTTGGGGCTACGCGGGGGCCCCAGCCGTGGCAAACTGGATTAAAGACACACACAGGTATGTAACAGACAAGGTACTACACTGACGACTGATTTTTCTCTGACCAAAGTTATGCTGGGAATAACTGCAGGTCAAAAATCTGATAGGCAAGTCTATGCCAATCTTTGCTACTTTATTTCCCTGCAATTAGTAGAAAAGGAATATGGTTTATATTGGCAAGGTTGAGTAATAATAACATCCCAACTTGTAAAGGTTCCCTAGGATGGGGTTGAAGACTTCAGCTACCTTTAGCCTACCTTGAAGTTGGATATTTAGCCTAAGTGGACGGTCCTCTCTGGGAAATTACTGGACAGATACAGGTACCCTACCCTGACTAGGCTTCTGTCTTTGGATGGTGGGGACCCCTCCTCCACTGAGTCCAGTCTGAGCCTTAGATAAACCACTTGGTAATGTGCCTGCTCTTTGCAGTGCATCATAAAACAGAAAATGCGTGCAGTATTCCTAGTTCTGTACCTTGTACATGATATTTTATAACTCAATGAAAACATAAAGGACTTAAATCTTGCGGAGTTTTACTCTAACATCAGGCAAAATCTGGAACCGGCTTGGGCAGAGTATTTCTGGATCTGTGGTTTAGTTATGATTAATCAGTATTTGAAAATTGATATTAAACTGTACCTGCACCATAGCTGTGCACAATCCAAAGATTCCCACTGCTAGTAAGTTTTCCTGGAGCCATACTTTCACTGTTTCGTAGCAAGGCTTTAAAAAACAAACAAACAAACAAACAAACAGAATATCTTATTAGCCACAAGGATGCAGCTCTATTCCCCTGTGACCATACAAACAGAAAAAAGCCCGATCAGATTAAGCTCCTAGGTAGCCTGGATTATCATTTCAGCATCGGAGCAACTACTGTGTATTTCTGGGTCAAAGCTTGAACATGGAGTACTGATTGAAATGACACAAAAAGGGCACCTCCACAATGCTGCATGAGCACCGCTCCACATAAACTGGGCCAGTAACTAAAAATAAACAAGCAGTGGATTTGGATTCTCTACAACCAGAAGCAGTTAGAAGTTCAGAACGAGCCTTTCATTTTCTCCACGTTTCAGGAAAACAAATTTTTATTACTATACATATGCATATATGCATATCAAACCCAAAAGTTCTAGTGAGAGCTGCTCCTGCTGCAGGTGGGCCCATTTCATACTATTTTCCAGCACTTCAAATTGCAGTATGGGTGCTCCTCCCTTATTTTCTCCTGCTTTAAATTCTGCACTTGTGTTCCTGGCCCAGTTTTGGGGAGGGTGGCAAGTGAAACCTTTTCTTAAATAATGTGTAAATAAGAAACAATGCCTGTAAGACAACCTTGTGCAAAAATTGTGCCCTCTGTCTTGTAAATGTACACAGCCAAGAATTACTCAGCCTTCAGTTAGTGACTTTCACATATGTATAAAGGAAAAATTATTAATGCCCACCAGAAGACACGGTGCTAATGTGCACTGATCTTCTTGGTACCCCAAGTAAAATAGAACAACTTTTAAGTCCTTATACTCAAAATTTGACTCGGAGCTACTGGAGAGGGTAGAAGGGAGTCATGTTTAGGTGGAAGTCAGCCTCTGCCAGTGCCACTCCAGGCCCATGGAATCTCACTAGAAAGTGGCCGAGAGCTTTATTTGTTGTCTTCATAAACCATTAGAACCAGCAAAACTTCCTTATAGTTCCACTTCATCAGATGGCCTTACTCTACATCCCTCCTGGGTAATTGCACTACCTGTAATTAGCACGAAGAATTGCTGAGCTAATTTCAGGGAAGAATTTAGGCTCTGCGTCTGCTCTGGAAAGATCTTGCTGAGGACACTGCAGGGAAATGATCCCACGGAGTTTTGAATTCGATTACAGGCAAGTGCAGACACTCATTGCGAAGAACCCTGCGGCTGGCAGCTCGGCGGAGCAGTTGGGGGGAACTCCGTGTGCCTCACCGCTGCCCGGGCCAGCGTAAGCTGCGGCGGCTGCTCCGGGGCTTGTGCTGTGTCTGTGCAGATGAGCCACTTGCCTTCACCTGACTGCAGCAGGTGGGACGTTAGAAAGGGCATTTCCTAGCTGGATCCAGCCAGGGTGTGCTCCAGATCCGTGCTGGAAGGTACTCGTCTGCAGTGTGAAACAACAGCTTGGGGCCCACTGAAAGGAAAGCCTTCAGCTCGTAAACCCAATTAAATGGGTGGTTTCATTGGAGGGCAAGAGCCACAGCTCAACGTGAGCCTTCTGAAGCCGCCTAATTAAAGATGAGGAAGGGTATGGCATACCTCATCATGGGTGTAGCTGCCTACCCGGGCTGCGAGGCAGCTGCGGAGCTACTCACCGCTTTCCACCAGGTCCCTGGGGAATGGAGTCCGCAGTTCTCGCTGAACTCTAAGCAGCAGGAGTCCGGCACCCGGGTTGCGTTGTACACTTCAAACCAGTCGGTGTAGTTGGAGACTCCACAGCATCTGAACTGGAAAAGGAAGAACCAAGGCAGTACCGTAAGTATGATCTGTCACTGGCGTCTGCTCCTTCTGACGTCTGCCTCCTGCAGCTGGACAGTCCGTGCATCTTGATTACACCAGCAGAAGCGTGGAATTTTAAAGAAACACAGGATTATTTCCTCAGCTTTACCCCAACACACTCCTTTCCCCACTTTTCTCATCTTTTATCATGTCTCGTATGTAACTAATGTTGACGCAAGAAGCAAAAGCACCAATTTGCAGCGGCAGAACACTACAGGAGCTGAACCAGGACAACCCCAGCCAAGTACTGAACCAAGGGCTGATGTGACTGAACAGGATTACAACAACCACTTGCAGCTTGTTTCCAGGAAAAAAAAATTATTTAAGATACAGCTACAGCACCCAGGAGATGAAGATACTGGGATGTCTATGACACACTGCTCCTGAAATCACGCTTGAAGTTAACAAGGCCAGCTTCTCCCCCAGCTGTTAATTACTGATCACCTTTGAAAGCCTTTGTCAGTCAGTAAATGATCTCTTTCCTCCTCTTCTCTCTTTGGTGCAGTTCCTTAGTGTCGTCATCTGATACTGCTAAACAGTGGTACTTTAAGGCTCTGCACATGATGACACAGCGTACAATGACTACGGTAGTGCTAAAGCAGGAGGTTTGCTCGGATTTGTTAGTGGGACGAAAGAAAGGTATAGGAAATGTATGTAACAGTCCAGGGAAGGGCTCTGTGACCATCCTCCCCCTCTGGGAACTGGTATATCCCTGTGGTACAAAACAAGCTAAGACTCATTACCGTATCGATGTATGCACCATCTGTCACTCCTGTGCTAACTCAAAAGTATGAATTTGTCGGTATTTAGACACTTTACCACTAATGAGTAAAACAAGACAACACTGGGCTGAAGAACTGCTCTCTGCTATTGGCAATACTTCATACATTTTCAAGGTTATGCCAGCCACCTACATAGCCCCCGCATGGCTTGCCAAGATCTTATTTTTAAAATGTGATTCTATACAAGCCTGTACGGTATTTTTCGCATCCCTGGAGAGACCATTCCTCTCGTTCCTGGTAGACTCTCAGCATGCAGACGTCTGCATCGCCAGGACCAAGGACCCGATGGAGCTCCTGATGGTGCCACTGGCCCAAGGGAGAGTTTTCCCTACGTGGACCTAACAGTTGAGCAGTCTGTGGGTGTAGCAGGCTGAGCGTCCCGGGGGCACACGCAAGAGCCGCCGCCCGGCCCCAAGGGAGGGCAGAGGTGTCACACGCTGCCTCCCGCCTCCTCACATGGAAAGTCATCCGCGCCAGAGACATCCCAGCGCTCACGGCACTGTCTGTCTTCTGCTAAACACAAGTCAGAAATCTCTTCCAGACTAGCATCTATCGCCCCAAGATTCTCCTCAGAATCCTGATTTGCTCCGTGGCAGGAACCAATCCTTAGCTTGCAACTGGTTGATCTGTGAGTTTTCAGGCTTCATTATCTACAAAATGACTCAAAAGTAAAAGTTTGTGCCTTTCTTTTTTTTCCCCTCTTATGTTCCTGCACACAAGACAGGAGCTCCGTGCGTAACAGGTCCCAAAAGTGGCTAGGAGCAGCACGGAACACGTGGCATGCATTTGAGGAAGGCTGGTTTATCTGGAAATCTAACAAGAAGGTCTTTCAGGCTGTCATCATTAGAGTCAGGAGGCAGCTCTTTGATAGACAGTGAGAAGTGACAGCTTGTAAATAGCAGGCCTTGAAAATGTGGCTCATCTGTGATGTAGAGAGTGCGACAGTAAGGGCTGAGACATTTGAGTGATGTTCTGGCCAAATCCAAGTGACACAAGTTTGCATAAATCGGGACTAGACCCCTTCTCCCTGTAATACTGCATGGCTGAGCATGTCAAAGCCTGACAGACTAAGGAGATGAAGTAACGGTTTTGTAGTTAAGGGCTCACTAACAGGTTGAGAACAGCAGCTCCTCTGGAGCCTGTGAAGCAGGAGGTGGCTAGGTCATGATCTAGGGTTGGGACTCCGAAGAGGAAAACTGCCCAGTAAGCAAAAAAGTAGAAGTAGGAGAGGAGTCAGCTGCAAAGACAAGCTGCAGTTGGACACCCATTGCCTGCCCACGCAGATCCTCTGCGTGTTGTACAAGAGCAGAGGAATAAATAGTGAGACTCACCTGCCACTGCTGGCAGCCAAGGCAGTCCCAGCAATGGAAGAAATGGCTAAGAAAAGATCAAGGGTAAAAAAGAATGTGGTAGCATGATGACCAATGGTCTCAGGACGGGAAGAAATAATGCCTGGGACTATAACTGGAAGACACATCATGTCTTTTGTAGACAAATGAAGGATGAGTGATGGAATTAAGCAGCGGATGATGCACAACCCTAAAGGAGAGGAGGCACAACCCTAAAGGAGAGGAGGTGACAAACACAGAAGAGTACTAGCACCACAGAGACCAGAAAGCACACGAGCAAGTGTCCAATGGAGACCAAGTCCGGAGCGCGGCATCTCTATGGAGCAGGGGCACTAACCCGTGGCAGTAGGTCAAAGAGGCAAGAACAAGGAAACAAGCAGCAGTGGGATTCGATGGGATCAGCACAGTACAGAGTCAGCAAAGGGGTCCAGCTGGAAGCCAGGAAGATGGGTGAGAGCTCAGTCAATTCAGAGACTTCGTTATGGAGGTGCAAGTAGAGAAGAGGGAGCGTGGGAGTGATTTTTGGATCATGTGAGAAGTGACTGATTTATCCTGTGTGCATGAAGCTGAAGGGTACGTAGCCAAATTGTTGAGGGAGATGAGGGACTATTAGAGGAAAGGGGAATATTGAGGATAAAGAGCAAAATAAGAGGGTTTTTTAGAGTCCTCTTAGATTTGACAGCAAGGTTCTCTTTTTTAAATTTACAAGGTTTCCAAGCAAGGAGAGTTGGAGACTGTCCTACGCTTAGAGGATGGAGAAAGCTCAGGTCACATGAAGGGCAATTTCTGTCACCAGCAGTTTGTTGTAGCCAGTTATACCAGACTTCACGTTCTTCCCCGAAGAAAGGCTGATGTTCTGCCAATGCCAGAAAGTTAAACTGCCTGTCACGAAGCAACTGCAGACTTGATTCTTGCTACAACCACATTCACTTTTTTGGTCAAGTTCACAGTCCTGTCTTGTTCCCTTCACTAGTTAGGTGATAAAATTAGACAAGGTTGCCTAAGTCATTAGTTCTGTTCCTAGTTTCAACGGGGAACAACACACTTATGCTTTCTAGAAACAATTACAAACTAATAGTGCTAATTCTGGGGTACCCAAGACGAACGTATTTTAAAAGGGGGTGGTCTGTTAAAAATGTCAGCTCCTGTCCTGAATAGCAGTAACTTAAGACGCCTTGAGATGGACACCTCAGGCCGCTTGGTTCCAGGGCTCGCAGCTGTGGAGGAGCGTGTGTGATTGGACGCGGCTGTGCCTGCCCGCATGCATCGACGCGGAAACTTAACGGCAGAAGGGGACAATCAGGCAGTAGTCCTGGGGACGCTCCGGCAGCGTGCAGCAGAGTGGCTCAAACAAGCAAAAGCTTGTCAAATGCCTCTGAGTATCTAAGCTCCTGCTGCTGAACATTTCCAGGAATACTGACAATATGCTGTTGTTTGTTTCCCACGTTTTGTGTGGGAGGCTCCGTCTCCCGAGATGTCAAAACACATTCTTCCCTTCCTTTGCTGAAGAGACTTCAGTGACTCCCCCGCTGATCGCCCGCGGGGCTCTGAAGCGGCTCGTTGGTTCCCAAGCGCCCGGGACGCGCAGGGGCTGCTCCGCACGGAGACGCCGCCGAAGGTCGTGCTGCCGAGGCGCGCGGCTCCCAGCCAAGCACCAAGGCCTCTGTCCTGTACTCGCGGCGCTGCTTGCAGGGAGCTTCAGTTTTGTGTTCACAAGTAATTGCCGCTCTAGCAAGGGGGTATCCGGGGCTGGCAATTCATGTTAAACACCAGGTTTCTCTCTTAGTGCAGTAGCAATGGTACGGAGTTGGATTCTTGTCGGCATTTTACAGGCAAACCCAGTACTGAAGGCTAAGTGGGCCTTATTTTCTTTGCCAAATTCCTGCAAAATCAGCCAGGCTGGGCTAGGGTTCACGCGAACAGAGAGACAACCAGTCCTCGTTGCTGACAGGTTTTAGCAATTCCCGGTTTTCTGGTTTTGTGAGTCTGACAGAGAACCAGGGACAGGGTGGGGTGCCTTTTGTGTGCCCTTCACCTCCATCACTGTAGAAAGTGGTGAGTAAGATTGTTTTATTCTACAATCATGTTTCATGGGTGGTTTGGATTACTTCAGCAGTAATCCTAAAGTATGGTTTGATCTAACTGAACCAGTGACTGGGGTAGAGGGAGATGGGTCTAATTTTGTTCTCAGTTACAGTGGTCTAAATAGACATGAAAGGCATTACACAGCAGTAAAAGTGAGCTGAATTTGCTCACTTCAGTGAAGCTAATGCGTTTTCTGCATGTCTCTCAGATTACTGCCTGGTTAGTTAAAAGGAGAAGTGTTCAAATATTGATCACAAAGATGCTGGGGATGAAGCAGATTTTAAAAATTAATGCCTATTTCTTAATGATCTCCACGTGTAACTTTAACCAGTCCTGGTTGGTAAGAAGTGTAATGCAGTTCAGAGTAACTCACATCCTAAACTATTAAAATTTTAGTCATATTTAAAATCATTTTGTAGGCTTTCGGAATCTTCAGTCAAGACATGCAAAAGGCACCTGCTTGTGTTTCTAATCCTTTTAAGGTCTGAAATGCCATTGAGAAAGGCTGTGAGTTTGGTTAGCTGAAGGTCTTAAAAAGAAATCAATAAAATGTTCTAATTTGAAACAGCTCCCTGAGCTACAGGCTTAATACAACTGCAAAATGAGTCTAGTGCTTTTCCTCTAACATGCGTTGCATATATGCAGCCCAGCCCAACTCCTTTATCAGTAATCTGAACAGATCAGTCATGGACAAAACTTGCAGCTTCCTCCCTAGAAGGCGGGCCTGATGGACGCTGGTTTTAACTTGTTCCCAGTTACTCAGGAATCGTATGCTTCTGTTAAAAAGAGGGAAACCATTCCTCAAGGCACAAAGGCTTCAGAGGAGAAAGCCCCCTAAAAAAAGGTGCTCGGGCCTTTCACACTTGAAGAAATACAGTAATCGCCGCTCAGAAGAGGCTGTGTGCACACTGGGTATCCACGCTCCCAGCCAAAACTCCCCTCTGATTTGTGATCAGCCAGTCCCACAGAAATCAAATGCCTTCTAAATGTGGTTCTGTTTCTGGAAAAACTTTTTTCCCCCTTCTTTAAGCAAAAGTTGCTAAACACAGTCATACTTCATGAACTCGGGGTGGGGATGGTGGCTATCTAAGCTAATAGTAGGAGAAATGAAGAACTACACCAGAGCTTAGATCCCTCGTGTCTGAGCCTCCTACTTTAACCATGGGGTCATCCCTCTGCTCAAAGCTCTGAGAAATACTTCTGCGAAGCAAGGGGTGTGAATGCAGAGAGGACAAGGAGAAGGACTCGGGATTTCTGTTGCTGTCATGTTTTTTACATGTCATGTTTTTTTTCCGAGGCTGCTGTTTTCCATCCACGTACAGACACGGCCCGTAGCTCAGCCAGTGACTTCAGAGCCAGACTGCAAACAGCAAGCCGGGGTTGGGACTTTCCTTTCAGGAAGTCCCCTGTATTGCCCTAATCCTCCTATCAGTGATTACACTCTACTGATTAGGGATGTAAGGGATAACGATTATTACCGAACACAAAAAATAGCACTTGGCATTTACATAGCGCTATTCAACTGCAAAGTGGTTTACATAATTAACCGTGCTGGGATTGCCTTCGCTGCACCACTGCAATAGTCTATTCCTAAATAGTTTTGAAAAAGACATGTGAAAACCAATTATGCAGAGCAGTAAAAATGGATCTGTGGGAGCTCTTTGCTTTTCTCCTCCGTGCCCAGCGTGGGGAGCCCGGAGACTTTAACACCATGGCACTGTGAAGGCAGCACACGGTAATTTCATAGTTGCCATGTTAGAAAAGAGCGATGTAACGTGACTGCACAGGCCTTGCGAGATGGCACTTCCCTATTATCTTTTAGGCTCCTAAGACCGAGCTAACATTAGTTCCATCTAAAACTTATAAGAGACTCTAAACTGTAATAGGCTTCAAGGCCAAAGGGAATCATTAAGACAAGCGAGCATGATCTGTAGTGCTACGCAGACCGCAGGCTATTGAGTCCTGCCTCAAACCCAACCTTGTCACTGAACAAGACCATTTCTTTTACAGAAAAACCCCTGTCTTGACTTCCGAGAAAAAGAATCCACCACCCTGCTGTACAGTGACATCCTACCATCAGATATCTGGGTCTCAAGTTTTCAGCTCTCGGATCAATTACAGAGCCCTTTTCCCTTCCTGCTCTCTTTTTAAGGACCGCAATCACATCACTACTTCATCTTTTCCTGGTTATATAAAGCTTTTAAAATTTCTCACCATAATGTAAATATCCAAAATTCTCATTCTTTTTTACATCTTTTCTGACTCCAATCCAACTTGTGAACATCTTGAAAAAACGTGACTAGGTAAACTAGACAGAGTATATAGTGTTACACTTATTTTGCAGAAAGGGGAGCAGAAGCATGGGGTTTATAGCCTGTAAGTCCTCCAAATAATGCTTTTTCCCTCACGTTTGCTATATGCTTTTAACAGTTCCTGAGGTGTCACTGAAACCAGCTTAATATTTACTGCAAACAATATTAGTTATTACATTATTACTGATCTAAGTTAGTGTAGAAGAGTAATACTTCTAATACTGTTTGATATAAGTGATGATGTTAAAAATTTTATCTGTATTTCCCCTGGCTTACGCTTGGGCTAACACCACAAAATGCATTTCTCTTGTCAGTAATTGATGACTTCTCATACTTGATCATAGTACTGAAAAGGAGAAATATGAACTATATAGGAAGATGCTGAGGCTTTTTAAAGGTAACTGGAAGACCCTTCCCCACGCAGCTGTTAGCAGGCAGGACTGGAAAGCTTATTTAGCTGGACCTGAGCTGTTTGCCTTCCACACACAGGACCTGCTGTCGACCTACTGCCCTTCAATGCACACAGCTCCCCCAGCCCCAAAGATGCACATGGAGTTTGGCCAATCAGTTCTTTTGTTTTGTTAGTGACCCCAAATTTGTCATTTCTCAGACCTTTTCTCAACATCCTGCTATTCCTGTTCTTGTGTATCATACAGAAGAGTGTATGTGAATCTTGACACTACCAGACTGAAAGATATTCAGGATTTCATCCCCAAAGGCAACAGAGGAAGTAAAGGGTAAACTAACAGATTTATTGTAACAGAATGTGGTACGTACCCCATCCATCACCTCGAATAGTTCATATAACCTTGGAAGCACTGGGAGAGGTTATCATCCTTGGCCGATGTAAGACATGAGAGGCAAGACTAAAGCCCTGCCTGTATGTACCACGCTAGCACCTCTGAAAGAGAATCTGAGAAAGCTATGCAAGATTTTATGAGTGAAGCCAAGGCAGTAGAAATGCTTCTTCCTAAAGCAGAATAAATGTTGGAGCGCTTCTCCTCATTCAAGAAGCAGAGAAAATCAAATCAGAAATATCATCAAGAGAACTGATGGAACAGAATATGAAAAGGACAAAGCTAATAAACTTGAAGTGGCAGTGGCAGTGTTTCCTCAGCGAGCCAGACAAGGACAAAAGGAGGAAGCTCACCAGTCCTTCTGAGACAAACACTGGCAGAGTGCTGCCAGCATCAGGAGGATGCAACGGCAATGGCAACATAGCAAAAAGCATTCCCAGCCTATCTGTGATGGAGGATGATTAAATTCTGCTAGGAAAAACGAATTGACTGTAAGGAGGAGGTTGCAAACACCGTGGCCAGTTACCATTTTGACTACGCTAGTGGAAGCCAACAACAGCAACGGGAAGAGACAGGACAGAAAGGAAAAGGGGTTGAAGTCGTTATTTGTTATGGTGCTATTGCTCTCATTCCAACGTAAGCTCTCCCTTTGACTTTAAGGAGAAGGTACTGTCCTGGCTGACCATCTCCACTCTCCACACAGCACAGAACGATATGATATTTAGGCATCAATGCAGTATAGATTTTTAAAAGAAATAAGCTATCCTGGTCAATGGAGAGATAAATAAAAATTACCATTTGTTACAAAAAGCAGAGAGTTTACTTGCTAATGTGCTGATGGGGTGGGAGGAAGATATTGTCTTGGGATCTGGAGGTTTAATTAGGTTCACACCCAGAACATGCTGTTACAGAACCCAGAGGGTAAACAGGAATAAAAAAATATAAAAAACACTCAGACTTACATCTGTTTGAATGATGCTCCATGCATTAGTTAGGCCAATATTTCCATCGGTCCCATACAAATGAAGCCCTTTCTTCAGATCCTGCTGAGCATACTTGTCAATCTAAAACCAACAACAAAAGACACAAAACTCAAAATTTGCTGAGTACCACATTTCAAAATCAAAGTGCACGAAGCAGGGAGATGTTGAACAGCAGTCCCATACTGAAATGAATAAAAAGTTAACTGACATTTCCTAAAGCCTTTCTCCAGTGGACCTGGTATGCATACACTCTTTGTAAAGAACATGAGGAGTCCCTGTTCTGAGTTGATGTTGATGTTTTCCATCAGAGACCTCCAGAACATCTTTTCCATTCTCACTTAACCACCAAAGTACCATAGAGAGACTGGATTCAGTTTAATCACCAATTTTTTTTCAAATGAGGCCTACGTATGAAAACATTCATCTACCCACATTTTCTTTTAGCTTAATATCTTTAATTGTGACCAAGTACCCCCCAGCATCTTCCATATGCTTCCTGGGAGACCAACAGCAGCACTAACACTGAACTGAAACTCTTGACTTGTGTTCATTCTATCAGCCAGGGTACCCCACTTCTTACAGCAGGATGGACATAGTTATACTGAAGCAGCAGGGAACGAGTTACCCAAAATTCAGAACAGACAGGATTTAAGAACTGAGTTACTAAATGGGGCTGCTCTTAAATAAATGCATTTTTGTTGATTTAATCAAAGTACGAAGGTCTGCTTTAGAGGCTTTTGCAATTGAAGATGGTGCTCTCTCGTTGAGAGTCTCTGCCGGCGAAGCAGGCTATTGTTGGATCCACTGGTCACCACCAAAATGATTGCAAGTGTCTCTCTCCCAGTCTAGCCACACATACACATTTCTACAGAATCAAGCAAATGCAAAAAAAGGAAGGAAATAATAAATGGATATTCACTGTTTGACCTGATTTTTCTGTTGTAAATGAAAAGCACTGAACAATGCTGCTCAAACACGCCGGTACACCCCCACCTCCCCCGGGTGCTCGTCCGTGTTGGTGCTCTGTTCAGCTTCAGAAGGGTGAGCAGACCTGTCCCATTTTCTTCCCCGTCAACCCGCTATAAATTTGACTGCAAAACACAGTGCCACTCTGAGATCTTTCTGCTGCAGCAGCCAAAGGGAGAACCAAACCTAAACTCACAGCTTGCTTCACGGGGACAGTCTAAGTTAATCCATACTCTCTTCCATATTGGACAACAGAGAGAGATGGCGTAGGCTCTGGTGATTGCCGCTCTGGCACTAGTCATTCCAGTTGAGGGGGGGTCTAAAAGGAAGTAAGCAGTGCTAATTTTGAGTTAGCAGAGGGAACAAAGGTATTCTGCTTCTATCATACACTTGGATTTTCCTTCTGCTTTGTTCAGTCAGAATTGCTTTCATTTGCTCCTGGAAAAAAAAATAAGAAAAAAGTGGATGCAAAGCACCTTCCACAGTGTAAAAGAGGAATTTTCAACACACTACATCATAATTATTAAGGGGTAAATGTGAAATGACTCCTCAAAAGTCTATCGTGTCCAAATCTCTGCTGTATGTGCAAAGGGTTGTCCTTGGTCTCTCCACTTTGTTTCCTTCCCAAAAGTGTAGTGCCATCAAGCTGAGCCATTAATAACATAGCTGTGGGGCAGTGTAAGAAAAATGCACAATTTAATCTCAGCACCTTAACCGTCACGCAAGCGCTTTCTCGTGGATGACTATCTTGAACAGTAGGTGCTGTGCTCCCTCTGTAATTATCAGGTAAGCTGCTTTTGACTTTACACAGAGATTATACACAGTCACTGGTATGTTAATTAGAAGAGAAAAGCAAGGCTGAAAGGTATCATTAAATTTGGAATTAATTGAGAAAATTACAGGCAATAAATGATAAACTTATATGGGGGGGATTCCTAGCATTCATTTAAGAATTGGTTTGAACTGGGTTTCGGCTCTTCACTTATCCTCAGCTCCCTGTGTCTCAGCTGGACCTGCTGTGGTCTCGAGCAGAGCCATCAGTGAGGATGGAAGGGCATGGTTGTGTTGCTAGTCAGACAGAGGCTTTGGAATGTAGACAGTGTCCTACAGAAGTAGTGAGGTAAATTCACTGTTGAAAAACTAATTCTTATTCAGAAAGGGACAGAGGTGAAGAGGAACAGCATAGCTGGGGCAGGTGGGGACAGAAATCTAGCTAGCAGATCTGTTGCCTTGAAGACAAAAGAGAAAGGGCTATTTGGAATACTAATTTATCACACCTGAGAAAATCTGCCCCATAAAGTGAGAGCACTACACATCAGCCTACAGTTCATATCACCACTAATCTGGAACAAGGGAGATAAGGTCAAATGAAACAGAGATGCTTAGCTGAAGGACAAATGCCACACTACCAAAAGGACGCAAAAAGCAAAGTTTGCATTTCCTCACTCAAATTTTGCTTTGCAAACCAATGCAGTGGCTCAGCATGATCATCTCTTTGACCAGGGCTCACAGGATACCCTTGTTAAGGCAATCTTCACGTCTTGTTTGAGATCAATAGTAATAATAATAATTTAATAACTTACGATCAACATTTATAAAGTACTTCAAGATCAGGAACAACATTTTATTAGTCCACATGTGCTTTAACAAGGTCTCAAGGGATTGCCTCACCAAGCATTCCTCCTCTTCCTATTACCTGGAGAAGACCCACTAGCGAACAACTTACTGAAATGAAATGAAAAACAAGTCCCCTCTTCCTCCTAAAATTCACCACTTTTCCCTGCACAAAGACTGCAAGACCCTTACACTGGGAGCACAACTGGCAACAGATTTCTGTATTTCAGAAACAGTAAACAGCAGAGAATCACTCAAGACAACAGGCACTGTGTGACCAGTTCTCAAGCCTCCACATCAAGTCTCTCAACACCAAGTCGTGCACGTTGCATGACCCATTATTATTTGTTGTTTTAAAAAGAGAGTGCCTGTTCGAATCTTGTTTGGAAGAGGACACAAGCTTTTTACAATTCCACACCACGTGTGTGTTTCATTTCCTTATCTCTCATCAATGTGCAGGTTGCAACTTTGACAGAGGCGCACACATACTGTGAAACAGTATCTCCAAATTTCTTTACTCCTTGATTTCATGTCCACTGACATAGGAAGGTACCTGGAAATCTCACAGTTTTATACATACATAAACACACACACAGAGCTTTATATTTATTTGGGCAATTGTGAATGTAGGATTTTACGTAGTTCTCCTTTCCTAAAGTTTCTAACTGATCCTCTAACCAAGCGTGCTGTAAATGCACTGAGGACTGCTAGAAGGGCAGCTGATTTAAAACCTCTTCTTCACAGCGCTACTCCTTAAAGCATTCACACTCCCCTGTTTGCTTATGCTAAGGACAAAAAGGTCTTCATCATCACCTGGAAATAACCTTGTACAGCACAACTGAGCCCGTGGCCCTCTGGCACCAGGAGAAAGGGGAAGCAGCGTTGGCCTTTGGTCTCCTGTCACTCGTGTCTGCAGCTGAGGTACCAGCGTCAAGTCCCCCGCCGTCTGTGTCCCCCCTGTTTCTAGCCAGTTACATAGAGCTGGTTTGAATTAATCAGTCTTGACACAGAAGTAGCCTTGGACTTCTAAGAGCGCAGAGGATATTAAACAAGACCAGTTCTCTCGTTCAGGCTGTGAGGAGTTCAGTGTCTACGTGCAGTCCTGTTAAAAGCACATTGACCTCTGCTTGAATAACCTGTGCACAAGGTTATAAGATGGCTATTTTTTCTGCTAATTGAAGCACTGCTTGAAGCTCCAGACATATGATTCGTACTGGCTTTGATGGGAGAGAGGTAAGTAAAACTCACCACCTATTTGTGGAGCTTAGCTGGAAAATGCTTCTCCAGGTGATTCTATTTCCTGCTAACCTCAATTTTGTTTCTTCCTCAAAATATTTTTAGCATAGCAGGAACTTGTCAGTATGCCTTTATTCTAATTGTATATTTGATTTAAATGAAAACTCACAAAACACCCCCAGCTGTCGCTTCTGCCTTCGAGTTTTTCAGAAAAAGATCTTTCTGAAACTGAAATGCTGCACCGCAGTGATTCATCACGTCTCCTGACAAACGATCCCACCCAGAATTCACCAATCTGTCAGCTTCTCTTGTTTGTCTCTGTGCTACCAGTCCTTAGCCAGGCAAAATGTCTACTGCAAAACAGGGACTGTAAGTACTGTATTAAATATTCTGCAATTTTAATCTGCTGCATTCTCCCATACGCAAGCCAGACCCTTCACAAAGCACAACTCTAACTAGTGAAGGAGAACAATGAAACATAATAAAAACTCCCAGCAGGCAAACTGTTACTCTAAATGAGATGCCTATTTTTAGACATGTGGAATACAAGAGGTTTCCTTAGAAGAAAGAGTTTCTGAAAGGTTAGGCAGTAAGAACCTTTTATCAATCTGGAAGTGAAGCAGAGAAAAATTCTTTTCCTCCTTGGGATTCACTGGTCAACAGATGAGAGGTGTAAGCTTCAAGCTGTCACCCCATCCATGTCAATGCCTGTGGCTTTTGGCCTCAGGCATGTTGGAGGCTTGCTCATGCTTATCAGCACCATCAGATCAAAGTTAAATGTGTCCTGTTGCTTAGCGTGGTAAATTCACTACAATCCACGACTGCACGAGAACCACTTCTTAATGTGAGGCATGCATATGACCAGCACTTCATCTAAAATAAGATCCTGTTCCCACTGCAGTGAGCACAAATACTTTCTCACTGACTTCCATTAGGCCCTAATTTGGCTCTTAAATCTCTCGTTGTCCTATTAAAAAGACTTTCTAAAACACATATACTACTCTAAGGTAGACAAGCCACGTGCAGAGTTTCAGGCAATGAAGGGAAATTCAATGTTTGAACTAAAGAAGAGAAAGCTGCAAGAGATGCCACAGGGCTGGAGAGAAACTGCCACAGCGATTGGGGAAAGTGGCTGGAAGCAGCTGATGCAGCAAGAGAGAATGGGCAGGGACCTATCTGAGCCTCATCTGAACTACAGCTGTGACAAAACATCCCTTAAAAAAAAAAATCTTACTTAAGGCTGCATATAAATTCAGGCCAAATTA